ATTATATGTACAGTTTACAAATGTTTAATAAAGCATACGTAACTAGCTTGACAGAGGGCAAAAAAAAAAAAAAAAAATAGGAAAATTGGTGAAGAGAATTTGTGAGGTTACTGAGATTTTGTCATGTCGATGATGTAGAAATTGCAGCTGCTTTGAAAGCAGACATCGACAAATTGAAAAAAAATAAAATAAAAATATATAAAAATTTTATAAGTTCAAATAGTTTTAATAATAAAAAATCTAGTTAACATCTTTATATTTCAAGTAAGGGAGAACTTGATGACACAAAACACTTTGCCAATATCTACGATGTAAAAATAATATTTCTTAAATCTCTGCTTAGATATAATGTAAAAATAATTAAAGAAAAATGTGTGTATAAAAAAGTAAATCTGCTGTCTTCATATATACAAGCCATCAATGCTATTTTTTGCCTGCTGAATGTAATAAAAAAATGAGAAAATTATAATTCATAACAAAGATTCAGGCAAGGTAGTGCTTGTTATATATTGTAATCTGATTGAATCTGAAGTTTTAAATATTATGCAAGATACAGTACTAGAAATGTTCCAACTATGAAGAAGGGTTGCCCAATCTGATAGTATATTGAAACTTAATCAAGGAACATTGGTAGCTGCTGGATATATAAAATTTATATATGTTTAATTTCATATTTAAGCAGTACTGGTAATAAGTTTTAGATATTTATTGATAAGGAAATATAGACTTTCTACATATATTTTCAATATAATGAAAGAGTTACGAGGAACAAATTAGTAGTACCTGCATGTAGAAAAAGTTGTTGTGATAAACAATCTCCTGTTTAACTATGCAATAGGTATTTTTTCTATTGATGTGACTTCGAGTATATAGAAAAAAATTGTTGAGCATAAACTTTTAATATTAGATGGAAACAAATATGAAGCAGTAAAAAAAGGTATCTCAGTTTTTTATAACAAAAAGGAAATCAAACTTAACCATTTTTTGGATTTCTGTAAAACATATGCATTCTTGAGGTACAGCAAATTTGTCTATACTGATACAAATTTTCTGGACCATACAATTGCAGCCAGCTGTCTGAGAGGAATTTGCTCCAAAAGTGATCCAGAATTTACTTGCCAAGAAGGGGATTTTGATGGAGGCAACTTCTATATGGCTAAATGGAAAATAAAGTAGAGATAACAGGTATTTTTATAAAAATGATAAAAAAGTTTGGAATATAAAATACTAAGTTTTTATTTAAATTTTTATACAAGGCAACACTCTTTTTTGCTGGCCAGAACATGAGTTGCATAGTACAACTGTTTTGCCGAAGGAAGGTGTAACTAATGATTTATTACAAACCCTGGCAAAAAAAACAGTAACAGCAATTAAAAAATGGAAAGAAGGAACTGAAAAAGAAAAATATATAGAGTATTAGCAAAAGCAATTGCAACAAGATCCTTCTGCTTTGCTAGTACTGAAAAAATTATAAAAAAAAATCAAAGCAGTAGCAGTACTGCAAAAAATTTAAATTATACAGGTGTATATTTTAATTTAAAAGAAAATGGTTGTGAATGACAATAAATTATAAATATTAAAAATGTAAACTATTAACTAAATGTTTATAAATGAAACCTAAAGATGACAAGTAAACATTAGGTAGGAAAAAATAAATAAAAAAAAAAAACATGATTAAAAAAATATCAGATTAATCAAATGGATACGGATCAAATAAAAATAAATCTGTTCGGATATGGATTGGATCAAATAAAAACTGATCCAATTCATGATGATACCCAATACTTACTTTATATCTTTTCAGACAGTGTCTTAATATGCGCAGATTGAACGATCTGATTTTCTATAAGTTTCACCGGTATTTAAATCATAATGATATCCTTCATCATCGTCATCCGAAAAACCATAGAATCCCCCCTCCTCACTCTGTGGGTCAGTGTCCCTATCGCAAGAATTTTCATCATCAAAAGGATCCGAATTAAAATATAAAGAACTATCAGGTGCGCTTACCTGTGTCTTGAACTCATCTATCTCATCAACATTAGAGGAATTAAAGATATGAGTCGTATTATTAGGTGACTTCAGTATTTGAGACACTTACCGAGGTATTAGATAAAGATTTGTCATCCTCACTTATTATATCTTCCGAATTAGACGTATGAGATGATTGATTAGAGGGAGTGGTTGGGACACTTACCTCTTGTAATATTTTCTTAGGTTCAGGTAAAATTTTGGTTGCATGATTTTGGCGAAGGACCGTCGTCGAAATTTCAGTCATGTTATTTGATGGGACATAGTCTCGAGGCTTTGTCTCTTCATCTGGAATCTTTTCTGTGTTAGACTCATTAGAATATTATCAATAATCTTTTGAATTTGTTCGTTAGTCAATTTTGAGATAGAATTTGTGCTGTATGCTTTAAGGTACTTAATTTTATCTATACATATTTTTTCAAATAATTTACAAGTCCTTACGGCCTTTTGGGTCTTTTTACATAAGGTTTTACGCGAAACTTCTGGGAGCTGTAATCCTATTTCCTTGGACCTTCTTTCACGGATAATGTTAAGGTGTTCCAATATTTTATCGTAAATTATACCTTTAGCTTTTTTCTCGCCAATTTTTCCATTACTATTTTTCACAAGATCATTATACTGAATTATAAATTCTCTCCCATAATTAGTCCAGCATAAAGTTTTCTCTTGATTAGCTTTTATAGCATAATATTCGGCATCAGTTGCTGTATCAAATAGTTGTGCTAATTCGAGTAATGGGGTTGCTGAAGAATTTTATGAATCCGTCGCTGAAATTTCGGATACATGACTTGAAGAAGTAGAACTTTGAAGAGATAAAGTCTCAAAATTATATCTCGCCTCGGATTCATCCGAAAGAATATTATTTTGAATACCGTCAGTTATTACTTGAGCAATATTCTCGGTTCCCTTTTTCTTGTGTGATTTATCCCAATTTTTATCTTGATTTTGGTCGTGCCTGCTCCGTTGATTCAAAATCTTTTTCAGAGTTTTCGAGTTGAGAGATTCAGACATGTCAGTATCATTGTTTTGCAAGAATTTTTCGGACGAATTATCAGAAATTGGATGTGTCTGCATGTTTAATACTTCGGATGGTTCCAGCGGAGTTGAGTTACTAAGTGATCCTTGAAGTTTCTTTTCCCTGTTCCTCTTTATCATCATATCACTAACCGCTTTCTTACTCTGCATATCCAAGAAATCAATCATCTCCTTTTCCTCTATTGATTTAGGCTCTGTGCTGACAGGTAAGGCAGAGCATCGAGTCAAAGATACATCAGAATTTGAAGCACTATCAGATATATTAGATGCTGGGGCATCCTCACTTTGTAAGATTATTTGTTCAGGAATATTATTAGAATTTACTGGATACTGCGAGACATTAATAAAAATTTTTTCTTTATCTCTCTGTTCTAGATTCGTTATTCTGGCTTCATGCTCTTCTAAAGCTTGCTTTAACTTCACACTATCACCTTTAATCTCAGTGTTTTCGGCTTTAACTTTCACATTCTCAGCTTTAGCGTGAGCTAACCTTCGGCTAAGTTCGATATTCTCAACCTCAACCTCAGCAAACCTCTTTCTAAGTTTATCAATTTCGGATACAAGCCTGGAATTCAATTCCTTCAATGAATCAATTGTGGATCGCATGTTTAGTAATATATTGTATGTTTTGTCATTTATTTAAAATGTGTAACTAAAAGTAAAAAATTTCGGCGACTTGCCGTCGTTGAAAATTTCAATAAAAATTTGCAAATTTTTTGTGTTCTGTAATAGCTTTACAGAATCATGATTCCAATTACTTGGCTTGGTCGTTTCATTATTTATAGAATTACAAGAAATAGTGATCGGATTTCGAATATAATTTTGAATGATAAGCATTTACATTGTAAAATCGCAGTCAATAGCATTTTTTTAAATTTTTTGGTCTAAATAGCGTATTATCTTAATCGTCTAAATCGATTTTCTGATGAACTGGTGAATCCAGATGACGCATCAAATCGCGATCCGACGAAGAGAAACCGGGAGATGGAGAACTGGGAGGTGAGGAATCGGGAGATGGGGATTTAGGTAAGGGTTAATTTTTGTTACTTTTTTTCTTTTGTGGACTATCATTCACTGAAGTTATGCGAATATTATTATTATTTTCTATAAAATTCGTGGTTGCTTTATTTATTGCTCTAGCTGTTGACAAGACATCTGCCTGTAAAAAAAAAAATTTATTATTTGTTTGAGAGCTATCAACACGTTCAATACTCTACCTGCCAATCCATCAAGCATATTATGTCTTTTGAAAACTCTTCGAAATCACTAAAAGTGACAGGTATTTTGATGCGCCCGAATTGTTTTAGCATGTAGATTGTTGGCAGTGATCGAGTTAAATATTTAATTTCAACAAATCCGTCTATAAAGAAACATGTGTGAAAAAAAAGTAATCTTGTACGATCTAACTTCCATTATAATCACTTACTAAATGATTGCACCAAGTAAATGCGTGCACGCTCCTTAGGTACCTTTCCTAATAAAACATTCAATTTTCTCATGGCGTTTCGACAAAGCTTAATCGAATCACCATTTTTCTTAGTCATGGGAGTTGTTCGTCCACGCGAAAATTCAATGATAACGATAGTTTGACCTTTTCCTCTTGTGCTAATAACTTTATATAGTCCATCGAATTTATGTTTTTTTGTATCTGGAGTGACTTGTTCAATCCTTAGTTAAAAAAATCAATTAATTAGTAAGATTAGAATTTAAAATTTAGATTGATACCTACCAAGCAACATCTAACTCGTCTTGGTGCATCCTAAATAACCTATTTAAAATATACTGTAAATTATTGTATCTATAGCATAATTTCTTTCTAAATTGAGGCCTTTGTACTCGACTCTCATTGGTGCTTCTAAGCGTAAAGAACTATTTTCAAAAAATTAATCATAAGAAATTTTGATTAATGTTAACTGCTCAACATAAAAATACTTACAAATGGGTTAGTATATTCTGAGCAATATCATGTGCTTCGTGATAAAAAGAATCGAATCTCCCAGTAACACAGGATTTGCGAACAATTGTTGGAATATTGGTTCGAGTGCAGGTTTCTTCCGTGAATTGGTTAATACACCGTCTCCCAAAAAGAGCGCAACACCTGATCGTCGATCTTTAAGTGTTAAAATTTTGATCAGATCAGATCAAATCATGATGAAATTTATAATAT